TATAAAGGATTTAGCAGGACAATGAATAATAGATTGTGGATGTCGTTGATTGTACACAATTTTTGATTTTTAACCTACAGTCCATTCCATACTTATCTGTCCAATTATGCATGGTTAAACAATTGTTCCTGACAAAGGAAACTGTCTCCATCTATTTGCACACAGATTAGCCATTCCAACCACACCTGCTCACTGACACCCTCAGCATTTCCTGGTAAGTACACAATGTAGAAAGGGACTCAACTGCTTTTTTCTCTCTTCAAGGAAAGAAATTTAAAACATACTTAGCAGGCCAATGTTCAGACACAGAGATCTCAGATCCAACCAAGGGTAACAACCCATTTGAGGGTAGCCTGAATCTCAGGGAGTTTATGCTGACAGAGCTTGGCTCCACCTGGAAAGCTAGGCAGTCAGAACCGCAGTCAGAACCCATTCTGGGGCTTCCATAGGAAACATCAAATCTGTCTCTGGTGAGTAACACTGGGAGAGGCTTTAAAATGAACTAGAATAGTCGTATTATCAAATGAACTATTTCCTTGAGAAAGAATAACGAATGAGTTCGAATTTTAGGAACCACAGTTGGTCTAGTTCTTGCTCCCAAAGAATTCTGTCCAATATAAAATTTTGGAAACTAATACGTCACTTTTGGCATGTTGTGAGTGTATTGCTCATTCAGTGTCATAAATTGAGTCTTGAATTATGGAGCTGTCTTCTACACTACTTTTGCAACCTTCAGGGTCCAAAGATCCTTCTCCATGCCTGATCTCATCTTCATGCTTGCTACTGAAAGTCAGTTATTTCTGTGCAATATTTTGTGGAAACTGAGAGGCCCTTAAATGCACAAAGAATCATTTGTTGTCACCAAATGTAAAAGAATCATGGACTCTTCTTCCATGTTCTAAATCTAAGATGATTTAGAGTTCATTTAGTCCAGCCTCTTCATTATAAGAATAGTAATATCTCCTTCCACATGGGTAGCAGACATGTTTTTGCCCACCTAGCATTCTTTCCCTCTTTTTCAGGTAACACCACCTCATTTTTTCTTTTGGGTAACTTCTCTCCCCGCACTGTTATTCAAGAATAACAGATTATTCCACATCTGTTACTCAGATGGGGCTGATTCTAGCTCCAGAGGAGGGTCTAAAGAGAGTACCCATTCCCTGACCACAGTGATTACTTCAAGAATGAGCACTCGTTCCGGGTTTGGCCAATGAGAGCAGCCTAATTTGATATCATTTCTGATGCCTGTCGCCAGGACTATACTTAACACATGTACAATATTTTCCACTGAAAGCTTAAGGGACATTTCAAGGTCATAGCAAGTCATTCAGATAGCCAAGATCTCCGGATACCTTCCCGTTGTGTAGTGGGGAAAGAGATACCAACAGATAATTTTGGTAATACCTTAAGAGCATACATTCATTCAACAAATATTCATTGAGATGATGAACACTACCAGATACCTGGTTCCATGGTGGGTGCTCAGGATGGAGTTATGAAGGAAACAGTCATGATCTCTGGATGTCCCATGATGCAGCACGTGTGACAGTGCACAGGAGGGCCATGTAAACTACCCTGGATATATGTTTGCGGGTATCCAGAAAGACTTTCTGGAGAAAGGAACCAGCCTCCTAAATCTCTCTGAATCTATCCTTTCATTTTTTTCCTCATCCTCACAGCTACTGTCTCAGTTCAGGCCCTCTTTATTTCACATCTGAATTACAGCAATAACATTCCAACTGAACATCACACCCCTACTCTTACCCTGTTTTTACCGAACTCACTCTTTACTAATGACATAATTTTTTCTTAGAAACTTTTTTCTAAAGTATAATATCCACCGATAAAAGTACATACGTAAGCATACAGTTTGATGAATTTCCTTAGCCAAACACACCCATTAACCAGAGCCTACATTAACAAACACAGTCAGCGTTCCGCAGCCCCCCCTCCATGTCCCCATCCATATAGTCAACCTCCTCATACATAATAAAAATAAGAATTCGTTTTAAAAATGAATACCGCTTCCTTCCTTTGTTAAAGCCTTCCAAGGACTTTCTTGACAGCCTGCAGGATAAACCCCAACTCCTTTGCCAAACTATTCCCTAGTAATTCCTCGCCTACTGTCCCAGTCTTCCCTCCCTGGCCTCTGCAGTGCTGCTCCCTCTGTGGGAACTAACACCTCAGCCCCCTTCCTCTGCATTGTAATGATTCCTAATTATTGCAGGAGCCACCTTCTCAAAGCCTTCCATGATCCCTTCCCTCCCCACTATCTGTTTCTCTCGTAGATTTTTGAAGGTAGCAACGGTTTTCCATGTTTCCCAATTTGTTAAATGAATAAGTGAGTAAATTTATTAATTTCCCATAACTCCTTTCCTCCCTTTCCTTCTCCACTACTCTACCAATGGCTCTTTTAAAAGAACAACAATCCAGTCCCCTGTGAATGTTGTGCATGTATGAGATGCACAATGATCACGTATGACCTTCAACCAGCAGTCTGCGAAGTCATGACTGGTTTCCATTGAT